AAAAAAAAAAGTAAAAATTTTGTAGTAGTCTGAAATCTGACTTGTTTTTATAAATCATTTTGTAACTGCTTTGACGGTTAGACGGATTCCAGAAGATTTTGGGTGATCCTGAGTTACATACTCTCAGAATTTCTAGACGTAAGAAAAGTCTGGAACTTGAATTTGGGCAAGGCTGCTTTGCTTTGGAGAAATTCACATTAGTCTTTGAACACCGTGCAACCGACCATTGGTAAACAAAAGGATTTGTCGTTGTGTCATCGCTAGCTTCCATTAATTCCTATATCCAATACAGTGTCACTCCTTCAAAATAAAAACGATTAGAAATTTGAGTTTTGGCATAATGACTTACTGTGAAGAAGAGCAGTAAGAAACAGTCAACTTTCCTGTTTTAGAATTCAAATAACGAAGTACTCTGTAGACTTGTTATCAATCTTGAAGCCTTTGCTTTACGGTCAGCGTTGCTAGTTATGGGCAATAGTAATTCTACTGGTGACATCCTTTATTTGTAAAATTTTTACTTACGCCAGGTGAAGAAAACGATGTTTTTCACTTACCGTTTTTGAAGAAAATGTAATAAATACCAGTTTTTTATCTAGAAGTTTCTGAAGCTTTCAAGTAGAAAGAGAAGGAAATGACAAACAGTCACTGTCGTCTTAATGAAACTCATAATAAAAAGATTGTAAAAACAGTTAAAAAAGTAGGGAACTCACCAGTTAATTGTCAGAAGCATTTCTCACTGAGTTAAAAAAACAAATTTGGGAAGATTCAGCGAAATCGCTAGTCAAGTGCTCTATTTGATTGTGCAAGTCAGAACTTTTAAATTGGAATCAATTGTGACAGGAAAGTGTTTATTCTGTTTGCTGCCTAACATTCAAAGTATCATTTCCATATTTTTCAGGTTCTAAACTTGTTGAAATTTTTAAAGCCTTTTCTCAGCGATAAATTATAAAACAGTTTTGACGTTTTTTTACTGCAGTCTAGCAAAATTGTTGACTAAAACGAAGTGACCATGGGATCAATGAGGAGACTTCTTGAACAGTTTTTAAATTAAAAACACTGTTTTTTAGCTAATAAAAACGGTTATTATATACTGGATTTATTTCTATACGGTAATACGTATTAATTGGCACCTACTGAACATTTTGTGAACAAGAGACTTGACATGTACAATCTTGTTCATTCGCTTAGCCCCTTAACATATGACTAAACTGACTACGTCTCCTAGCGATTTAGGTAGCTGGCTAGCTCATATAAAGTAAAAAAAATCGCCGGTTGTTTCACGGTCATAGAAAATTGACGTAATGCTTAAGAATACTAAGAAAATGGAGTTTTGGAAGAAAATTTAAAAAAGGACCACAACCATATACATTCGTTAACTTGTCCTAACGAAAGCTTGCACCGATACCTCTCTGGACTAATAACGCAGAAAATTTGCCTCTAGTGTTGTATTACGCAGAAATCGTAAATCTTACAGGAAGATAAGATTTTAGTGTTTCAAAATTGTTTAAAAAACTATAAAGATCCGACGAGTCTAAATTCAGAAACCTAACACGGCTAGTAAATGACAAAATTTATAACAGTTTGATGTACAATTACAAACTACTGCCTGTTTCGTTCCTTCAACAAAAAATTTATAGAAGAGAAATTGTCATCAGCTTATCAGTAAGAAACTAGATTTATTTTCTTAAAATTAGCCAAGAATAATTTGGGAGTTTTCAGTGAGTCTCATCATTTGTACTCCACTATCAGCAGATTAAAGATAACACGGCGTTGCTGGCGGAATAGGCAACTTTTTGTGAACATCATTTTTCATTATTTCGTAGCAAACTTGATAACACATTAAAGC